TTCCACTTTTTCACTCCACATCTTCATGTAATTTGATCTTGTTATATTATATATACATATATTATTTTTAAAAAAGATGTGGAAAATTTAAACTGAAAAATTATCAAATTATACTTAAAAGTTTAAACTGATATTTGATAGAGCATACAGTAATATACTAATTTGGAAAATTAAATGACAATATCAGTTCACGAATCATACAATTTAAAGGTTTCACTATAATTTAGTAAACATAAATTGAAATATATTTAATGAATTATTAATAAATAAGGATTAGAACGTTCTATAAATTAAAAAAAGTAAATATCAAAATAAGCGTTGCTTCATTTTCTTGTCTTTTCCAGTTAGTCTACCATAACTGACATTGAAAGCGCATTTAAAAGAAAGACTTAATTAAAAAATTTTAGAAATAATAATAATATAAGGTTAGCTAGATATTGGTTAGAAAAAAAGTTGGCCAAATGTTATAATATTTTTTAAAAATATAATATAATTATTCTTTTGTGTAAAAAATAGTAAAACTTATATTTGAACTTGCAATTTATAAAAGCAAATTTGACAAATAACTTTCATGTTTGTGAAAAAACTGTATTCCGTTCATTGTAAAAGCCAAACTTATTCTCCCTAGCTCCAAAGATTTTCACTTTCCCGCCGTTGAACCCATTTAATTTTTTTTTAATAATAAACCCATTTAATATGACATTTTAATTCTAACAAAAATTTTCACTTTCCTTTTCCCTCTAGATCATTCACCGACTCTATTCCTTCAAGCGCTCCCTCTGCAACTCCAAAGCTCACGCACACCAACTCTCTCCCCCTCATGATTGTGACTCCATTCCTGCAGAAACTCACGGCCTTCTTTTCTTCATCAACTCCTCTATCCCATTCGCCATTTTCAATTTCATCGGCCTCTCCCTATTTGTGAACCTAAGCTCGGCACCTCTTACTCCTTCCGCTCCTCTTATTTGCTTCAATCTGCTGCTACGTACCGTGCTCCGTGAGGATGAGCGAAGACTTTCACTTTCTCCAGTGACCAGCGTTTCTCTTATTACTGACTGAGCAGAGCAAGGAGCTTCCCTTCTTCATCTTCGAGTTGACGCCATTGCTCACTACTTCTTGTCGCAACCTCCACCCCCTTCAGGCAAGTTGATGTATATGGTTTTTGGTCGCTTGTTCCTTCTTCTTCGTTCAATCTATAATAATTTTGAACCCTACTCTCTTCCCTCTGCAGGATTGTTGATAGTTGAGGACAAATTTTTTGATTGGTTGCGAAATTTTTAAGCTCGAAATACTTCAGCTTTCATAATCTTGCCATCTGTTTGGTCTATTGCATTTGTTTTCTTTTCTGTTTTAATTCTTTAGGTATTTAATTTGCTTGCACTACATAATCCATGAATCAAGATTGAAATCCAACTCATGAAACTAATTTTTTTGGTCAAATTAAAATAGATTATGCAAAATCAGCTCAAGGTGCGGAATCTAACAATTTCGTTTATAATTTTTTATTTTTTTTCGTGTTTCGTCTTAGTCGTAATTGGTGTTTGATCTTTTTTTCCCTATATAATAGTTTTCTCTTGCCACATATATATCTTGCTTGTTTGATTTGATTCTTACATACTATTTATATAGGATTCCTATTTCATGGTAGTTCCAAAAAATTAAAGATGGATGTATAATAAAATTAATCAGAACTAAATGGGTTACAGTAGATTTTGAACGAAGTGTTCAATTACCTTATTTTCAAACATCAAGACATCTTAGGTGTCCGTATGTGAATATATAAGTTTCGATCAGACGAAGACATACCTTTATAAAAGAAGATTCATGTCGGTCTCCTATATATGGACTAGTTATGGTAAAAGACAAACAAGGTATCCTTCAGCCATTTGTCCAATGCCAAGTGGCCCACAACACAATAACATACTCACAAACAGTTTTCTCGATGAACTTTCAATCACCCGTATATATGATTCTTTGATAGTTGATATATATTTATTATCATCATACAATAGGCCACGTGCTAAACACGCATCTTTAAAAGTTTTATGGATTACTCCATCTCATCGTATGAACTGGGATATGTTAAATTGGTGAGAAAAACACACAAGTAATACAATTTCCTTGAGTATGGTGATGCATGCACTCTACTAATAGAAAAGCCCTTTTGTTTTCATTTTCTTTCCCTTTTAGGGCCTGTTTGGATAACATAGAAAACTAATATTTGGGACCCAAACCATGGTTTGGGTTCTTCTGATAATAACTATCCAAATACTCTCATTTATCAGAATCACTTTTTCACCAAATCTATTCTTTACAAAATCTATTTTTTCCAGAATCTATTCTCCAGAAGCTATTTTCCAAACCATGGTTTGGTTTCATCCAAACACCCTCTTAGTCCTTTAGTAAACATAATGTTTAGGAAACTTTATATAATTTGCTTGAGGTATCTATTTTGTATCCTTAATTTTGCATGGAAGATTTGTCTTGAGCACTTTTCAGGTCATGCTTATGTCTTAGCATCATAGAGGGAGCTTATGAATAAACCCTTCCATTTAGAGTTTAAACAGGTAGTCGTCGTCTCATATTGGGTTTTAATTGATGGATAGCCATGAGCCATAAAGGATTTTAGTTTATTTATATAATAAGGATGTGATACTAGATAAACTTCTTGTCTCTGGTTGTACAGCTTGATTTGTTGTGAGAGAGAGAGAATGAGAGAAAACAAAAACAAAAGGAAAAAGCAACTGCATATAAGCATATGAGCATGATTTATCATGAATAAATTCTTCTCTTGACAGCTGCACATGTATATTGTTATTTCAACTAAAAAAAAAACATTAAAATCAATTAATCCCAATGATGTGTTTTCGCAGTTTCTTAAAGCTTGTGTTAAAGTGTTGGTGTGCGTGCTTGACTCTTGTGAGTTTTCAGTGGGGGGGGGGGGGAACCTCCACCAGTTATTTTCCTAGTTTTGTGCCAAGGTTTTGTTGCTTGGTCATTTTGTTATTAACCCACAAATTAAGGCATGCAAATTATGTGTATAAGGAAGGATTATATTGCATGTTAGATTATTGTGTATATTTATTCTGTTTTGGTTGGAAGGAATATATGTTCAAACACTTGCACAAAGAGCTTTGCGTTTAGTATCTCCACTTAACACTCATTTGGTTTGGATTAGGTTTTTATTTAAAAGCATCGTATTTTCTAAGTACTAAATCCTAAGATCAATTTCCATTTCAAGGAGAGAGTGATTAGTGATACCGCTGTTAAATTCTTTAGAAGGAGAACAAAGAGAGTGTTTGAGACGTGTGATGATTGATTTAAAATGATTTTTTTTTTTGCCTCTAAGTTATAAGCCTAGCTACTGTTTGATATGTGGGAAATGGAGGGAATGAGAGGGGAGAAAAAAAATTTAATGAGCTCTATTTAAAAAATTGGAGAAGCGAGGTTTTAAAATTTTAATAAAGAGAAAAAGCAATATAAAAGAGTAATAAAAATTAATTAAAAACTTTAAGTCCCATTTTTTCAGTTTTTTAAGTCGAGCTCATTAACATTTTTTCTTCTCTCCCTTCCTTTCATATCAAATGGACTCTTATAGTTACCGTCTTTTATTGGTTTGGTAAAATGAGAATCAGAGACCGTTTTTGGTACAATAAATTTTGCATATTTGACAACCAGGTGCCGCTCATAAATTGCTAGAAAACTTCAAAAAATGAAATCCTTGATGCATGACTCGAAATCAGTGGTCAGTACTTAGTTGATTGCCAAGGTTGGGTAGTTTGGCACCACTTCATCATCCTCTTAACGTTATGCTATCTCTTATCCTAATCATAAGAGGTCGTTGGTAGTAGTTTAAAACCATGCATTATAATTAGAACTGGAAGAATATAATTTCTAAGTTGCATGGTGAGTTCAATGTTGAGAATGGGGCCTACCGATCCTTGATGCATGACTCGAAATCAGTGGTCAGTACTTAGTTGATTTGCCAAGGTTGGGTAGTTTGGCACCACTTCATCATCCTCTTAACGTTATGCTATCTCTTATCCTAATCATAAGAGGTCGTTTGTAGTAGTTTATAAACGATGCATTATAATTAGAACTGGAAGTAATATAATTTCTAAGTTGCATGGTGAGTTCAATGTTGAGAATGGGGCCTACCGTACAAACATTTGAATTAGGAGGACCGAATTTTTTTTAAGGGGGAGGAATGCAATGAACAAGGAATTTGAGAATATTTTAATAGTAATTAATTAATTGATAGGGTAAGGGGAAAAAACTGGAAAAGAAAAAAAAATTAATGGTCCTGAAATTAGAATAAAATAATATTTCATTCATAATTAGTATTTTAATTATTTGTTTTACATGATTTTAAAAGCGAATAGTGGGTGTTGTGGAACTTGTGTTTTGTTCCTTGTGTCTTGGATTTGTATCCTCCCTCTATTGGAACAGGATACGCAGCGTCCCTCTGCGTCAAATTGTAGCCATTTAGATGAATCTAAAAGCTCACTATCTACCATATTATTATGCTATAAAAAATTAAAATAAATCTTGATGATAGTGTAAAATATTTTTGCCAGCCTTAACTATTTTTTTTTTTTAGTTGCTTAGAGTATCATTCTGCTCGAATGGTAAGAGACTAATCTCTTAGAGTATTGTAAAACTATAATAGGGATTTTTTCCAACAGTATTTTTTTCATATACATAATGTGCCAAACATTGAATAATAACGAAAAAACTTAACCACCAAATGTTTATATACAATCCAAAGCTAGCTCTCTAGCATAAAGGGTATTTTTTTATTTAATTAAGATTTTTTTTAAGATTTAGAGTGTAAAAGCTTTTTGCCTTTTCTAATGAGTACGTTTTTTAAGATTCCGATCTATGTTTTTTTTTTTTTTTGGTAATTTTGTTTGTTTTTTGTCCTACACCATGAGACCACCATAAAACGAAATAAATAAGCTTTCTTTTTTTAAATTCAGTTGATGAACGCTGGGCAAAGTGGGGGAAGAAACTTCCAGACCCTGAAACTTGAGACCTTAGCTTCATTGCTCCTTCTATCATCGCCGGTGGTCCATGATGTCGTCGTCGGTGATTACGTCGTGTGCCTGTCTGCCGTCGCCTTCCTCCCTTTTTCAGATTTCGGTTCGCTGTTCCTCCTTCTTACTCTGTTCAGCATTCTGATTCGTTCTTCTCCTCAACTGGCATTGTGGTAGGTATAAGCCTGGGTTTCCTTATATTCTATTTTTGTCTCTTTTGTTCATTGGGTGTGGATGGGCTGTAATGATTCCCCCCCCCCCCCACCTTCTTCCCCTCCATTGTTAACTGTTGCCGTAGTGAGTATGCTTCTTGGATTGAATTTTTTTTTCTTTTCTTCCTCCACAATGGCGTGTTCGAGTCAATCTTCTTGCTATACACACACACACACACACACACACACACACACTTACGCACACACAAGTCAGCGAAGGGGAGAAATAAAAGAGAAGAAACTTGTTTGCTAATTTTAGTCTTCTATATGATAGGTGTTAGATAAAATGTGGGGATTTAAAGTCAAAATGAACGAGCATTGAAGTATCATAATATCAGTTTTGGCTTTGAGAAATCTTGTGTGCCCACAAGGTGTTTGATAAAATGTTTGATAGAGAAGAGACTAAATTAAAAGTATATTTCTAAAGTATCTTGATGCTGAACAAGAATTGAGATCCTGTACTGCATGATTATGTTGCAAATCTTGTGTAAATATAAAAATTCGGAAGTTCTATAATTTTATACTAAATTGTGGTATGGTGATTGTTTGGGAATAAATTTGAAGATGCATATGAGATGTTTGTTGCATTGTGTAGAAAAGTAATTGGATTAAATTAAGATTGTCCAAGGGATTCCAAGGGTTTTGAGTTGGTTTGCGAAATGCACTGGAAGTGCTTGATTCAATAATTGAGAGGAATCATTATGGATTTGGGTATTGATGCTAGCTTTGAGTGAAATTATAATTATAATATAAGAATTAGTTACTTTTATAAATTGAAAATTGTTATTAAATGATTTAAGGAAGCTTGGGAGAATAAAGGAATTAAGCATAAAAAATGAATTTGGATTGGTTCTTTAGTTGGGTTTGGTTTAAGTTTTTTTCTCTCAATTTGCTGCTTTAAATTTATGTCTAGAGTCGTCTCTGAGCTTATTATGAATAGAAAGGAAGAATGGTTTAAATTATTGAATGGTTAGGTATCATTTTAGATTTAAGTGCATAATTATTTTATCTTGATTTTTATAAATACTTGATCAATTGTTTGAACCGGGAAAATGTTTGAGATAGATAGAATTATAATAAAATGTATATAACAATTCATTCTGATTGAAATATTGATTTGATTATTATTCTTCCTTGTTCAGTGAACAGTTTTGTTTTATATATATGTATATAAATATATATATTTATTGACACAGACACACAGATATTTAAGTAATGCGATCATTAAGTCTATGAAAGGAACATGAAAGGAACTCTAAAATATGGCTTATGAATATTTTGCAGAATCTTTTACGGAGTTGAATTTTTGAAATATACTAGATGAATTTTCATAAGTTGAAAGAAATGATTTCTTATAAAATATAAACATTTGTTTTTTCAGTGGGACTGGGCACAAAGCGCCTGTTATTCATAGCCTCTGTGCTATGCTGGTTATTCGTGGCCTCTGTTATTTGCCCGATCTTATTAGAATGAGAGCTATTATTTGTTATTGGCATCGCTGCTGGAATTGCAGAGGATATATTCATTTTTCTTGCCCTTGAGTTTTCGCTCTTATTTTCTGTTCTTCACAAGTATGACTCTTGGGGCAAGTTTTTGTTACAATTAGTTGTTGGAAGCATACTAAACTTTCTGGAAAGCTATCATAAGTTGTTTCATCTTGTGAAATGAAGTTTCTGAAGTGATTCTTTGTTGAGTACTTGAGTTTGTCAATATCTGATCATTATTTAGTTGCATTGCTATTTGTTCTTGCTGAAATCTGCTGCATTTCACTGAATTATACAGACCCACTGTTGTCTGACAATTCATGGGCTTTTACTCGTCTTGCCTCATGGTCTAGACATGAGTGCAATTGCGTGATCTAATGTTCCTAGTTTCTACTGGCACGTTATTTCAGATTTGCTGGAACTTGAACCACCCTGCTGGAGTTTTGCTGCACTTAGCTGTTCTTAGCCTTACACTGGGTATGTGCTCTTGGACATAGCTTTGAGCTGAGTTTGTGCATGATAGTTAGTAACTTCAATAATCAGATTCACTTGGGAGGGATTTGTGAAAACCCTGTACCTTATTTGAATGCGAGTGACTAGTTATGTATATCTCTGAAACTTAATTAAACTTGTTGGAATTTCTAGACCAAAATTTTGTTGACAACCGATTTGTGCTGCAACATGTTGATTAAAGACTGGCTTTTAGGCAAGAGGTGGAATCTTCACATTCTTGCTGTAACTGCGTAACAACCATCTACGGTCAAAAAAACCTGGAGTTTCTTAGCAAGATCTTGAAATTTTGATTAAATGTGTTCTGGTAGGTTACTTTCACTTTAGATTTATTTATCTTTCTTTTTTTAATAGGAACATCCTTGGTTCTTATTGAAGCTTGCATCCGTACATTTGATAAAGTAGCATATCTTAGGGAGAATGACAAATAAATAAGGCTGAAATTAGGATATTCCAATTTAGGAAGCTAAGGGTTGGAAATGACAGAGAGGGAAGTTATTCCCAAATTGGAATTTTGAAATTCAAAAGAAATAACAAAAATATCCCCCTTTCTTAAAAAAGGTTTAACCCCTCACTAGCAGCAAGCCATTGCCGACGACTGGACAACGGTGTTGGCCACCAATGTGTTGGCTGCCGACAAAGTTTTTTTGGTGGCAGATTTTTTTTTCCATGTAAAAAATCATTTAAGAAAAGTGGTGGGAGTGTAATTTAATCCTACTATTCTCTGGTCAATTTAGGCCAACAAAAGGGAAGGTGACTATTGGGCCGCCAATGATTTGTTAATCTTATAATACAAAAAAAAAAAGTTGATTCTTTTACTGTAGCTGCAGCACGTAACAACAGTTTATCTGATAATGACAAGTTTTGATTGGGAAATGATGAGTCTAAATTTAATATTAACAAATTATTTGTTCCTGATACATAACAGGAAATAACATGTATACTAATTAAAAATGACAACAATTTATCTGGGAATGATATGTCTTGATTGAGAAATAACAATTCTAAATTTGAAATTAGTAATGTGTTTTGTTTTTGATACATAAGAGGAAATAACACATTAATTAAAAATAACAATAATTTATTTTAAAACGATAAGTTTAGATTTGAGATTTTATTTGAAAATGACAAGTTACGAAATGATAAGTTTATACTTAAGATTAACAATATAATCTTTAATTAATTCAGAAGTTTAGACTTGTCAAGTCTACACTTGTGACATTGTTAAACTCAAGTTTAAATTTATCATTTTACAATTAAGATTTGTTATTCCTAGATAAATTATTGTCATTTTTAATCAATTCATATGTTATTTCACATTATGTATATATCAGGCAAAAACACCTTGTTAACCATGTACAGACCTGTAATTTCACAGTCAAGATTTGTCATTTCTAAATAAATTGTTTTCATTTTAATTAGTATGCATGCTACTTCCTGTTATGTATGAGGAAAAAATATCTTGTTAATATCACATTTAGACTTGTCATTTTCCAATCAAAACATGTGATTTTTAGATAAATTGTTATATTTTTTAATTAATCCATGTGTCACTAAAAAAAACAGCTCATTACCAAAGGAAAATATTTTGTCTCTAATTTTTGACGAAAATTCTGTTGCTAAATTTAGTGACGGATTAGTGATGGATTAGTGATGAATTTTCTGTCTGTTGTTAAATTTCATCAGTAATAATTCATCAGTAAATATTTAGTGATGGAATTAGCAACGTAATTTTTTTCGTCAGAAATTTTCGTTGCTAATTTTGTCATTAAATTATTTGTTACAGGAGTTTTTGTTACTAATTCTATTGCTAATTTTATTCTGTTGCAATCTCGTCACTAATTCGTTACTAATTTTAAATTTCATTATTTTAGATTATAATTTTATAACAATTTATATAATAATATAATCAAGAATATAATGATTTAAATATATTTTTAATCATAAAATAAATTGATATATTTGAGGATTTGGTGTTAATGAAGGTATCGCCATCATTTATGTTATCATTAGGTATATATAGAGAATAGGAAGACAATTTCTTAGAAAACTAATTTATATTTCATTAAAATCAATTCCTCTTGATTATTAATAATAATTAGAAAAATATAATAAGAATATTAATAACTTTCTTATACAAACTGATATAAGAAAGAAATAATTTTATTATATGTACAATATATTAAAAGACATAATATGTGATAGAAATTCAAAACCAAAAAATAAATTTATATAAACATAAACTGATAGTCAAGTGAGTTTTGAATTTTAATTATTAAACAATAAAATTTAATCATGATATAATTAAGACTCATGATATAGATTGATTTTGGTCTCCAATACAAAAGCAAATGGTATATGCAAAGAATTTTAAAAAAATAAATTATATAGGATATCTATACAAATAGAAGAATATTGTTTATCATAATCTATTCAAATCATTTAGTTTTTTATATAGAATAATTTTATTATATTTTATTATAGTAGCTATTTTTTGAATAACAAGATTTTTTTACTAATTATAAATGGTTTTCATCAAATATATAAAAAACATATAGATAATATAATATAATGTAATACATATATAATTAAATTGTCTACTTTATCAATGTTAATTAAAAAATAAATTTAAAATATTATTTATGATTTAAAATTCAAAATTGAAAATTAAAATTATATTAATTTTTTAAAAAATAAAACATTATAAAATAAATGGTAAAACAAATATTTGAAAATTATTGTTATTAAAATAGTTACGATTAAAATTATCATATATTTTATTTTTAGTTTTTAATAATTTATATGTATATATCATTGTTTGTGTAAAAGAATATTATATATATTTAATTATATATCATAAGCTAATAAGCACATTGCAGCTCAATTAGTAAAACTGCCCGCGCGCATAGACGAGGTCTTAACCCATGAAGTCACTTTTAGGAGAGAATTATGTGGGGGTGACACATGACACCACAAGGTGACATGTGAGGTGACAGCACACGTGGCAGTAGAGGTGAGGTGGTAGGGACATGTGAAGGTTGCAGTGGTTGTCACCGGCGACTTATAGAAGCGCCACGTGGCATTTTAATTTTTTGTTCAAAAGTCGGGTTAGTGACGGAATTTTTCCGTCACTAATTTCTGACGAAAATTTCTATTAGTAATCCGAGACGGATTAGCAATGAAAAATTTCTGCCGCTAATTCGTGGCTAATTAGTGACGAGATTTTAATTCGGTCGCTAATCCAATTAGCAACAAAATTGGTTTCGTCACTAAATTTTGTTGATAATAACATTTTTTTGTGGTGTTATTTCCTGTTATATATCAAGAAAAAAATATATTATTAATCTCAATTTTAGATTTGTTATTTTCCAATCAAAATGTGTCATTCCTAGATAAATTGTTGTTATTTTTAATTAATGCCATAACAGGAAAAAAATACTTTGTAAATATTAAATTTAGATTTGTTATTTTTAAGGTTAACAAATTATGGGTGGCCCAATGGTCACTTTTCTTTTTGCTAATCCAAATGACCAAAGGATAGTAGGATCAAATCCTAGCCTCACTACTTTTCTTAAATAACTTCTCACATGGTTAAAAAACAAAAAAATATTTGTCACCAAAAATACTTTGCCGGCAACCACCACACTAGTGGTTAGTGTTGGTGTTTAATTGTTGGCGGTGGCCTGTAGTCAGTCGATGAGGGGTTGAACTTTTTTTCTTTAACGAAAAAGTGGCATTTTTCCTATTTCTCGTGAATTTCAAAATTTCAATTTGGGAATAACTTCCCTTTCTGTCATGTCTAATTCTTAGCTTCTTAAATTGATATATCCTAATTTCAGCCTTCTTTATTTGTTATTTTTCCCAAACCTTATGGTTTGGATCAAACCATTCTTAATCTACTAGATTGTTTGATAAGTTCTAATCTCTAATATGCTTTATATTTATCTATATTTTGTCTGCCTTTTTTTTTTTTAAAAAAAAGTTTTTTCTTGTGCTACATGCCAACCTCCGATTTTTGTAGGACTTTTTAGAGAATTCTTTATTTTTTCCACAGATTGTTTAGATATGTAGCTATGTATTTATAATAGAGAATTGTGCATGTATTTTTAAATGATGTAGATATTTGTAAAAATGCATAAATAAGAATTTATGAAATTTGCTATTTTTTATAAAAACAATTAGTATTTATCAAGAATAAGCGCTACCTAATGTTATTTTGCTTTGAATAAAAAAAAAAAAAAACATTAGGTAGCTCACATATATACCTCATAAGTGCTACTTGAGGATAACAAGTGGTAGCATTTACGAGCCATAAATGCCACCACTTGTCTATTTTTTTTCAATAAAAATGTGCGAGTTGCAGTGTATCTTTAAGGAAGCGCTACCACTTGACCCATATCTTGTAGCGCTACCTAATAATTAGGTATCACTGTTATAGATAGCGTTTGATAAATGCTTTAAGCGTTACTGTTTGACTTGCTCTAGTAGTGTCTATTTGTTTCCTAAGAAAATTTCACATACAAACCCACACTCTAAGAAGCATAGCTCTTGATTTGAACTTAGTTGCAACTTTTCAACTACATTTTCCTGAAACCTTGGATGCAGTTGAGTTAGGATCAATTTTTTTCCCTTCTTGCATTTTCTTGTCATGCAAATAGGGATGGTTCGCTCGTTTCATTTGAATTTTCCAGTACATTTTTCATTGACAGATATGTTTGACTGTTTCTTTGTGTGTTTTTTCAGTCTATATTATTCGGGCTTTGCGTGGACCAGATTTTATGGTTGGATAATCTTAAACACTTGAACTATATGATTATTATTCTTTATTTATTTTGTATCTTTAGGACTTTTGATAGCTTTATGATGTCAAGTTTAATGAGGAAAAAAATGATTGAATGGCGAGAAGGTAGATATACCAGTCAATAATCGAGATTCCTTTGGGCGAAACTGCTCGTTAGCATCTTTAACAGCTCTATGAACTGTGGGGTTGTTATTCTTCATTTATTTTGTATGTTTAGGACTTTTGACAGCTCTTTGATCCGAAGTTTAATGAGAAGAAAATGATGGAGAATTGCTAGAAGGTTGATATGCCGGTCAATAATTGAAATTCTTCTGGGTGGAATCTCTAATTTATGGTCAATATGTTTGAA